GAATTAAACCTCAGTAACAATATGTTTAACTATTGAGTACAGAAAGCTTTGAAAACTCCATTCTATATCCATATATATATTCACTATATATTCCTTCATGACTAGATTTTCATATGAAGTATGAGGCCAGTATCTTAACCCCAAAGCCTTCATTTTTCTGCCAAGCAGGTACTCAGGAGCTCATCCAATCCTCGGCCACCAGAGACAAAGAAAACTACCAAGCCTTACTGTTGCTGAAGCTCCAGCACCGACCCTAAAGTGAAACCTGCATCATTTTTTTTTCCCAGKAGAACTGGTATTTCAAATGGCATCTAACAACCAAAAGGAGTCCAGGAGAGAAGGAGACATGATGCAAATAAAGCAAAATAAGGAAAAACAACCAAGAAAGTCTTGAAAGAAGTCATAAATAAGAGTCTTCATTACTGATATAAGMAATCCGAGTTAATTACAATTGAATTGCTATCAAGAAAAAACTTACCCACCAGAGCTTATTATATTTCATCTTAAAATACAAATCAGCCATTGACATTATACAGAACAGCAAGTGCTTTGCATTAGCACTTCCATTGAAATGCTTCCCCTTTATGGTTTTTGTGAAACCTGATCCTGCCAGAACTTCAGCACTTTCCAAGATATCAGTGTCCCCAGCTTAGGGAGCCCTCCATGTAMTTCACCAGCTCTAGACAAGAGCTTCTTAAACACAGTTCTGATGACAAACATGATTGCAAGTAGTTATGGAAGAGGGTGCAACTGTCCCTTTCACTGCAGCAGTAGAAGTAAAAGAAGCTTCCACTGAAACCCATTCCTTCGGAGCAGAAGGATGCAAATAAATACAGTCACAAGGGTTTTAAATGTTCATGATTAATCTGAGGATGTAGCTGTCTAACGCACCTATATGTGAACAAGCYATGGACTGGAGAAAATGACAAAGTGCAGTTTAGTAGCAACACAGGCACCTCTTCATGGAGTGGAGGGCTCCTCTCTGACACTCAGGAGATTCACTGCCTGACTCAGTTTACAGCTGTGCTTTTCAGGAGAGGACAGAGTTACACAGTGGAGGCCTAAATATAGCAAAAACCAAGCACAGCAGATGCCATGGGCTGTGGAGCTTTGGTTCCCACATGCACTATTAGGGCCTACACAACTGGGCTGTATGGTCATGATGATGGTCTGGGCTGTATGGTCATGGTGATGGTTGCCTTTATGCAGTTAACAGCAATGAAAAGCTCTTAAAATTGAAAATATGAAAGAGCAGCRGTCACAAGTTAATTCGTATCTCCTAGACCATCAGATTCCTCTAAATACTTTAAATAATATTTTAAAATTTTTAGCCTGTCTTTAAGTTATCATGTCTGTTCACAGTTTACATGAGAAAGTCACATATAAGAGCTATAGGCATGAGATTAAAACAAATGCTTGTTTTTTTCCTTCCACTCCTTGCTTAGAAAAAAAAATGTAAACAGGAGATTGGAAATCTAAGTTAAAAAAAGAGCTGCACCTGCTCACGACTTGACACCACCTCCTCCTTTCATGTAAGCTGGGGTAGGACCTAGGCTAGAACACATTTCARTGGATTTCCAGAGACAGAATACAAATTGAAAAATGTGCATGTAAACACAAATACAGAAAGATCAGCCCTTTAGAAATAAGCAAATTCACTAAATCATCAATAAATATTGTGCTCTGAAAGAACCATTGCTATAAAACAGTGAAGTAATTCCACCAGACCTCACAGTAGTGACAGGAATACAATGGACATTCTTTCAACGTAAAGAAGGTAAAACTTGGGCTTTATAAGGGTCTAAGCTATAAAGAAAAATGAATTACCAGTGAGAATAAGCTACAGATGAAAACGTAGCACTAACAGCTGATASGTGAAGTTCTTTTGCCCTCTACAGACCTAACTGAAGTACTTCAGGAAGGCAGTTTTTATGCTTAAGGTTGATGACACCTTAACAAACGAATATAGACAGGAGGCCAGTGACACACCTAACCTTTGTGGATGAAGTTGCTCTCGCAGAGCTGGGCCAGCCCAGTGAAAGGGCAGCCCATGCACAGCAGAGGACATAGAGAAACACGACTGCAGCTCGGCACCTGGGCGAAGGGGGAATGAAGGAGGTGATCTTACCAGGCTGGAGTGGCAAGCAGCTGAACTGCTTCACATCATTTATTCCCGTTTCTGTTGTCTGTACCCCTGCATTTGGAAAGCCAGGGCTTCCATGTTAAGCCTAACAGAAATAGGTCAGTAGGGCTCAAATATTRGCTACTTGGCTGTGCTGCACTTAGCCAGCAGAACTGAATCTCATTTGAAATCCAAACTCAGCTTTATGATGTATTTTTTCCACTTTCTTAATATAGGACTGGACTTGGACTTGGTTGTATGGAGATCATGAACTTGATTTCTGCAAAATCATGTTTCTAAATCAGAGTTCTATATGGGGGGCTGTATTTTACAGAGACCTTGGGACATGTAACCTGCAACTTGCTTTTCCACTGCATCATGTAAGTGGAAAAGCAAGAAGCCTGGTGGAACTTCCCTCTAGCTAGCACTGTATTTTCAAGCTGTCCCTCTTTCAGCCCAACAATACTCTAGCTCATGATGGCCTAGCACCTTTGAGAAGGCAACTATGAAAGCTGCAACTTGTGGCAGGGCTCAGAAAAGCCTATTTCTTCAACTACACTATACAGAAACTGTATACATAGGCCTATTGTAAAGGAAAAAGTTGTCATTTTCTATCAGTGCACTTGACCTTAAGGTCATTTTACACATATAAACTGTGCCTGGTTACCTTATATTCATTAAAGATTTCACAAAACCTTTACTTTTTTTAACATGTATGCTTCATTGAATTATATGAAAAATTAGGGAAGYAACATTGCAGTCATTAAACAAAAAAAGGCATATATAATTGAGGACAGTTCGAACGAGGAGTAGTTCTCCTYGATGGTATGTTAGTTCCAAGCACCTAAATCAATCCAGGAAGAGTGAAAATCAACAGTCAGATCACTCTAGATCAGTTCTCTTTAGATCAGATCTCTTAGAACAATTTCTAAAAAACTTGAAGATTGTGCACCTCTTTGTGGGGTAAGATGCTACTTAAAATGAAAGGCACTAAGAATTGGTGATATTACTCTCCTCGATTTACAGGAAATGGTAATACTCAAGCCCAAAACTTTTTTTTTGCATATGAGAAAACATTAGAAATTATCTAAAACAAGAAAATAAATGCACAAAAAGACAAAAGAGAGAGAGAAAAATCTTTCTTTCTGCTAATGTTAGTGACATAGATGTAACGTGGARTAAAACACACAGCTCTTCATAGGGCTTTGGACTATTTTTGCCCAAACAATCCCAATGTTATTCTATTTTATCCCCGCAAGTGCGTTCCTTTCTCCCGTTGAGAGCCGGCAGCTTTCCAGGTGACACTATTTTCCTCRGAGCAAGGCGACCTGTCCCCACCCTCCCGACACACCTGTGGCTTCACTGAACCCACCTGCTGCCAATGGAGTCAAACACCAGCCGGTCCCCAGCAGATGAGGGCCTGGAACTGGGAAGTTCTCCCCACCGGGCATTCGTACAAGAGTGTCTCAATCACTTAGAAGTACATGACCTGATTACACTGTAAAACGAGCAACTCCCCAAAACAGAAACCCCCGCAAACGCCGCCGCAGCGCTACCTGCTTTCTTGGCAGGCACCGGGTGCCATCCCTGGCAGAGGAAGCGCTGAGGCWAGATGGAGCGGTAGAAGCTCGCGTCTGCCGATTTCAATGCGCGATACCGAGAAGCCAGCAGCAGAGATACGCGGGCTCCCGCAGCGGGAACTTTCCTCAGAACGGCGAGTCCGTTTGAGTCCGTTGGGCGGCCGTTAGGGCGGCCGTTAGGGCGGCGCGCGCGGGGCAGCCCCGCCCCTCCCGCCGGGCGTGCGGAGCCGCGGGGCGCAGCGCCGGCCCCGGCCCCCCCGCCCAGGCGCCAGCCGGGCCGCTGCCCGCGACTCGCTTGCAGGAAGCCGCCGGCCGCGGCGCCTCCGTTAAAGCCGGAGCGACTTTCGCTCGTGGCTCGGTCCTCACCCCCTGCACCGCCTCGGCTGCGCCGCCATTTGCTCCCGCCCGCCATTTGCCCGCCCCGCCCGCCGCACCTTGGACAGCTCCCGGCGGCGGGAGCAGGGGAGGAGGAGCCGGGGCGGCCCCAGAGCCGGCGGCTGCTCTTACCCCACGCTAGAAATTGCCCTTCAGCTGCCTGTCTGGCCTCCTCGAGGGGTGCAGGGGACATAAGGGCGCCCTAACACTTCCCACCAGCGCGTCTCTCTTAGGGAAGCAGRGAGCTGTTCAAGTGCTTCCTGTCCTCCTTACCCTGCAACAGCCGTGGAGTTCCCAAGGTTGGGTCCACACTAGCCCCTGCTGGCCTGGACTATCACTGGACCGATGAAGCAGAAAAAGGCTCTGTCTTCCATTGTAACGGACTAAGCTGTCACTTCTTGGACGAGCCACACATTACTTTTACTTCCATTATAAATGGTCACAGTCATTTCCAAGTGACTTACTCTCAGAACCCAGAACTCAGACCAAAGCATGGCCCTCGATTTAGTTTGAGCCTGATTTACCTGTGTTTTGATTTCACGGATCAGACACCCAGACATTCTGCTTCTTTAATTCCACAGATACAGGTGTGGTATTTATACACACAGCTTTAGAACTGCTCCAAAGAAGAGTTACTTAGGCAGCTAAAGAGGCTGTTATTCCTAGCCCATTTTCAGAGAGTAGAGGGAGCTGACAGAAGTTATTTCACCTAAATAAATCCCATCCATCAAAAATAAACACTGCTTATTTAAGAACCATGTTTTAAAATGTTTTAAAAATGGAGACAATGGTTTATCAGAAGCCAGTTTTTACCTTGTTAACATTGGGCCACATTCTCCCCTCTGCTCAAAATCTTACCACCAAGCATCATAAAAACAAAGAATGCAAATTACATTCATCAAATTGTTTCAGATTTTAATCAAGATCCATGTTGTGCAAAAGTTTCTCAGATGGTATAACAAAACACAAGAATCATTTTGAGTGAGACTACATAAAAAAAAAAAAAAACACATTTGAACAAGCCTGAGGAAATCTGCACTTGAAGAAGACTGAGTAGAAAAGCCCAATTTTCATTAATATCTATTAGTAATCCTAACAGATAGGATTACCCAGAGCATTAGAGAACTCTTGCCTAATTTCCCCCCCTCCAGTTAAGGGAAAGAAAAGTTTTTCGGAAGTATGAAGCACCTCCAATCTCAAGGCAATAATTGAAAACTAGAAGTTCTTAGCATCTTCAAAAATACAACCAGATCAGCAGTCACTAAACAAACTTAATCTTACAATAACGAGCTATTATCTTATCAAAATGAAGTTGATTCCTAACACTGGGACATGGCACYGTAGTTGCTTTGTAAACCATTTTCCTCAATTGTTTCCCAACTTATTGGATAAAGCAAATAATGCAACATTTCATGGTTGGTACTGTTTTATTGTCTAATATTGATTAAAATATTTACATTCCTACTTTTTAATCCACAGTTTAAACACTCATACCTATGGCTTTTATTTTTAGCACAAGATCTTTGTGTCAAGTGTCAGAATTTCATTTCAAAAAACCCAGGAACCTGATACCATATAGACAAGTCTTCTCTATGTTTAAACACAGTCATTTTTAAAAATTAAAAATTTATAAAAGAGTCTGGTAGTAAGGTCCTTTTTGTTTCCAGCTTATGTTTACCACATTCTACTGGGCTTTTCCTATTTTAAAGTGTCCCTTTTAAAGTGTCCCACTGCTTCCATGTGGAATCTGTTTTCTCCTCTCCCTCAACACCCCCTTCCCCTCCCAATCTAAACTGAATGCAAAGGAAAAAAAAAAAGGAGAAAAAAAATCAGTAGCTGACAATTTTAAGCAAAAATATAAAGCACTATAACATTACCTACATTGCCTTTACCTGCACTAGGCTCTTAAACACTTTAGGAGCTTTGTGGAAGTTTAATCAGTCACTGTTGAAAAGGCACAGGGTTTTTGTGCTCCAGACCKCCATGATTTTCCCCAGCCTGAAGTTCCAAAGTACCAATCGACAGAAAGCATCTCGGATAATAGGGAGAGCAAGGATCACTGTCAGGACACAGCACCATTGTTTGCCTACAGAATTCACAGCTAAACAATTGGCCATTTACATTAGAACCCACCAGGTTTTAATTCTTCTGCTGCAGACACCCTGCAAATCTGTTAAGGGGAGCTTGATTCTATGGCAAGAGGAGGAGAGGTCAATATATACCTGGGCATGGTGGAACAGTGATGCAGGTAATTTCTTACTCGATTCCTCACAAGCTGTCCAACTCTGTGGTAGTTCCTGTTTTTGGTGCTACATGAATGGGAAAGTTACTTCTCATGTATGAGAGATATTTAGTTGTACATGAAGAAAATTAACTTTGGTCCGCTTGTCCAGCTTCTTGGACAGCATATTGAAAAGCTGATCACTGATGGGTGCAAAAACCAGTGTAGAAATTAACAAAAATAATTTGGTATTTCATTCCTAAACCTGCACAGTGTGGCAATTTGTCCTAGTCATCCACCTTTTCATGCTGTGTTTCTACTAGCTGTTGAGTTTTTAAGTCTTCAGCTTGTTCATGATCTTCCTTTGCTGCATCTTCTACTGGACTAGGTTCCTTCTCTTCTGCTTCCCCCTGATCAACGCTTTCATATTCTACTTGCTCAAGGTCTGTTCCATCTATAAGTTCTGCCTGTACTTCTTCCATCTGTATTTGATTTACATGCTCAACATGTAATTGCTCCACATGAACTTCAGCCCCTTGTTCAGTCTGAATGTGCTCAACCTCCAAGTAACTGATTTGTACCTGCTCCTGCAGTTCGTCTATCTGTGTGCCTTTCACTTGATTGTCCTGGAGGAGGTCCTGGTGCATCTGCTCCACAGTTACTTGTGCAGGATCCACTTGTACTTGGATTACTGGCAGCACGTGGACTTGCTCCACTTGTTCTATTATAGTCATTGATGTTACTGGTTCTGCTTCCACGGCTTCCACTGGAAGAACTTCTTCTGGCACTATTCGTTCTGAAATATTGTGTATGTCTTTGAGGTGCCTTCTCAGCTCGCTGCCTTGCATGAACCACAAATCACATAAGGTACAGTGGTTGGGTTTGTCACCCGTATGTATTACCAAGTGATCTTTAAATTGATCCCAGCTGTTAAACACGCTGTTACACACCTGAAAAAGATGCAGTATGTTAAACAGTGCCAGCTTAAAGAGCTCAAAGCATAATATTCCACATCAAGGCTTTAACAGTGTAGCTTCTTGAAACTGGATTTAAAAAAATGCATGTTGAGAGGTCAAAGTTGTAAAGGTAACTATGAATGCACAGAATGCCTGCTTCTGGTGTATGTGTGTTATACATACGGAGGATACCTACAGAGTTTATGAATCTGTGCATTTCACCAGTTCCTTAAATTTATCATGTGAAATCCACATACACAATCATACCCCAGTTAAGATTCCGGTACTGGAATTTTGGGTGGAGAGCTATTTACATAGAAGTACTATATGATGAAACTACAACACAAACTGGCCTTTCAYAAAAGTTCTGGATGCAGTTACCACTCGCCAGCTTCTCATCATCTACTTGTTTGTAGCACTGAATTTTAACTGGATAGATTCAACTCTCCCTTTCTACCATTTCAGAAAATATAAAACGAGTAATTTCAGCAGATAAAGATCTCTGAAAATTTTATCCTTTAAGTCTCTTCCAGCTGAAAGGGCTGCCTACCCTGCAGATACACTGTTCTTGGCTGTGGAAAGAAGCAAAGAAGCCACATTTCAACACTCCTCCATTGCTAGCAAATATTTTTGAAATAAAGTGTTCCATCTCCTCCCAGTTTTCAGCAATCAATACAGAAAGGTAAATACTCTTCTGACGGGGAATTAACTCAGGACTCATCTTCACTTCATAAAGTTTATTATCACCATCTTGCTGTTAAAGTCTGATAAAACCAAGCTGGTGACGCATTTTACCTACCCTCAGCCTGCACTTCAGAAAGAAGGAAGATCCTTTTGCACTTCAGAAAGAAGGAAGATCCTTTTACACTTTTTAAAATACCAGACTTACAGTCAAGCACTCAAAATCAATTAGTTTTTATACTAAGGCAAAGACCATACACAATTAGCATTTCTGCCATAAACCTTGGCCTAACTCAGTACACAATATACAAAAAGCACCAAAATGCTCACTGAGCAAATGCAATTTTGCTTTCTCCTCTCTGCTGCGGGAGCTGAGTTTACTGATCACTATTCAAACTTAGTTCTAGAGTCAGAAAGGTTTATGAAAAAGTTATTTTAAAAGGGCTGCAAAGACAAAGCAGGATATTTATTTTTAAACTATTAAGCACATTTATCATATAGGAGTTCTATAGGCTTAAGTTTAGCATTGAGACAACTGTGCTTACAAGGACTAACTTGAGCAGCATGACAACCAAGCGATGTGATAGCACTAGTCTATCCCAGGGGATAGACCAGTAGTCCCCAGACACTTCTGTCTGGGGAGATGATGGGGAGATTAACAACTCCAAGAACTCATTTCTCTCCTGCATTCACTACTGTCCATGAATGAGAGCACTGCRTTCTGTGAATGGGAACAGATYATTGCCTCGCTTCTGAGGCAAATAGAGCTCACGTACAGCTCTGTTCTTCAACAGCAATTTAACCTGAGAACACAGCTGCTGTGGGAACTGTGCGAGGCGAGTCTTAAGGGAACAAGTGTTCTTTAAGACTGTAACAGTGTTGGCACCACAAAATGGTAAATAAAAGACCTGAAACCAATCTCAGTTCTCACATTTCTCACTTTTGAAAGCTGATTATTAACTACCAAGTGATATTCTTCTGAACAGCTTTAGAAAGTCAGTTATAAATAGTGACCAAGTATCTCAGCTATCCATCATTTATGCTCTCTAAGAGACACTACAGATTGTGAATATGAGCTGGAATGACTCCAGAGTAAAGACACTGTATCAAACAGAAGGACAATAAAATAGGAAATAAAATAGTACTTTGCATTTTGGACTTTAGTGAAGCATGCTTGCAAGCAGGAAAGGCCTAGGTCACTGCATCAAGAACCTTGAAAAGGAAGCAGAAAGATCAGTAAAATGCAGCTAAACTTTCACCTATCCACAAGCATCTCTATGATTAACAAAGTGTTATGAAGCTCCACATGATAAATGGAACTGCCTAGATATAAGAACYGCATGTTATATGCACGTTATAGATGTGTGTAATCTTTATAGTTGTATTACTCCAGTGGGCTCATGTCTGCAAGACACTCTTCCACTTCTCACTGCCTTTCCAGCCCAGAATTCCCACCCTTCCCCAGCACAGGAAGCAGATAACCAGCCTCAGGCTTCACTACTCACCTGACATTCATACAGCTTCTTTCTTCCCTTTTTAGCTCCAGCTCCGGACTGACAGGCCGTCAAGTGACATTTGAGGGTGCTATTCCTGGCAAAACGTTCATGGCAGTTGGGACATTCAAATGGTTTCTCACCTAGGGAGACAGGCACAGGGATTTATAAGTACCCGTGAAAGAGCCAGTTCTCTGCTGCCTTTCTGTCTTGCACCTCTCACCTTTGTGCAGGGTGAGAAATAGGCTGTTAGGGCTTGGGGGGAAATACCATAAAGAGGTGGCCAACTAGATTATTCTACAGAATAACAGGAAGATATTTTATATAGCCTTTTCCATGTAAAAAAGTAAAAGGGCAAACCTTATGCGGAATCGAAACTCTCATTTAGGGAAAAAAAGACAATTTAGTCTAGTCTACAGATGCCAATAAAAGTACAGACATGTACTTATGGAACTTAAATGGCTACTTCAATAGAATGTTAACAGAGCAATAGTATATTTTGACTTAATATTCACAACTAGATAGTCAGCTTTAGCAATTATAGAGTCATCTGTTTTTCAGGAAGGAAATATTTAAATAACAAAGTTTTATTTTAGTAATAAAAATAACAGCTTATGATCAAGAGTTCTGATTTCCTGAAACTGAGCTCCATAAAAAGCTGAAAACTTGTTTCTTTTCCCCAGTGTTGTCATCCAACCATTAGTTTAGTCTCACCAAGTAAGATTTGCTCTCACACTGAGAAGAGATTGTCCAATATAGTGCTAGTCCTTTAAAATCTTAAGGATACAGGACAGGGATTCGCCAAAATAAGTACCTTTTAACCTCCCCAAAATAATGACTTCTTCTTTAAGAGTACATACAATGATTTTTGTTTGCCTAATATGTAGCAAACACCCATTAATTCATCTAGGACCATAAAGCGACAATTGAGTATTTAAATTGGGTTTAGAGAGAGACAATAGTAAATTCAGATACTTTTTTTCCAAAGGAGTTCCTTGGTAGCGTTCATTCAAGGTACGCAAACCATTTATATGTCTATTTATTTACTTCTACGGATGATGTTAACTACCGTTTGAAGAACACTTCTCATAAAACTTTTACCCTGGTTCAATTTTCCTAAGTTTATATATATATATAAAAATATATAGATCAGTGCAGTTACAGAGTTATTAGCTGGGCAGCTTGGAACACAATTCCTTCACTTCCATGTTCATGTRAGTACCTACACCCTCATGAAGGGAAAGATAACCCATCTAGCATGCCTATCACTCCACCTATCTATCTGTATGTAACCAAAAAGCCYGGTTTTGAGACACAGTCAGCAATGAAAGAGACACTGAACAACTTTGATTCCCTYCTGAACTGAAAGCTTTGTAAAATATCAAGATTAGAAAAGCATATTCAGAGCGGTAGCTTCATCCTAACATTATCTTTTATAAAAGTAAATTGTCCTTGTGTAAGATAAACCAGAGATATTGACTTCAATAGGTACACACTAATTGCAGCCTTGCAGAATTTGTCTTCCTGCGAGTTACTTAAGATTTTAAGCAAAATCTCATTCCTTCATTCGCATAATAAGGAAAAAGATAACAAGATCAGGCCAAAAAACCTCTCCCCTATAAGCTGTGGAGATGATGCTGTCACTGCTTTCAGAGTTACGGATACTCAAGGTGAGCAAGTGGAACAAGAGCCCGATTTATTCTGCCCTTACTCAGAGCCCCCACGAGGCGGAAGCTGCTCGAGGCTCTGCACGCCCGAGAGACGCTCCATGGATCCACTTTCCTCCGCTGGGGCAAGAGCAAAGCAACAGCCACACCGAAATCTGTCCATGGCGACTGCCCACACCGACGGGCTGCCTTTTTCCACCATTGCTTCATCATTCGCTACTTTTCGGTTTATTGCTGCTCTTGTAAGTAAGCAGCAAGAGGACCACACACACCGTAGGGGACATTTTTGGGCTTTTAGTTTTATCTTAGTTTTGAAGCAGCATACACAGAATTCAGAGCTTGGAAAGCTTTCAGTTCAATGGGAGGGTTTTTCTTTGCCTCTGCCCTGCATTTCCTGCAAGGGGTGAAGTTGTTCTGTCCCCAGAACCCTTTGCTGCAACAGGAACCAACATGTGGCACTATCAGGGCTATGCTCATCATCTACCCCAAACTCTACTCTGAAAAAACTTTTCCAAGTACCTTAACTTGGTTTGGCTGTTACAGAGAAACACTCCCTCCTCCACAAGGGATTTTAAAGCCTTTTTTAAAGCAGCTACTTTAAAGTGGCAACTGGGATAGGATACAGTGCCATATATCAACACCAGGAGCCCCAGACACAGATACACAGAAGTTCTCATTAGCCTTTTGCAACTAAGACAAGCTGCAAAAGAACAGGGCTGCTCTCCTCCATCAACTTCTTCCTGACGACTCGTGCCAGACAAAGAGCATGTGGAGAACCAGGACCCACAGGTATTTTATGCTCAGTTACTTTTATAATGCACAGTACCTGTAGAGACAGCACAAACTTTAAACAAGTAGCATGTTAACCTCCCATCCTATAAAGGAAGAAACATGAGTCATTTTGTACTCGAAAGATGCAATCCAGATTCTAAAGAGGAAGATTTTATAATAAAAAGTATACTACAGTTGATAGAAATATTTTGCTGTCACAATTAGCAAATGAACAAACCAAGAAACTGTCCGGGAGATATCCAGAGAGACACTGAAAGTTCCCAACAAACTGGTTCCAGAGAAAGCTGCAAGGTGGGTAATTCGTGCCTACTGCATTGATAAGCATTTGCTCAGAAATTCTCCAAACTGCTCTGCATTAATAAACTCGCAATTCAGATCATTTCAACACAAAATTATATTAATAAATTGCAAAAACAAAGAGCAGCTCCTCAGTTAAGCACTTTAAGATGTAAACATGCCTCAAGAACTGGTTAAAACTATCTTAAAAACTTAATATACTTGGGAAAGAAGCGTCATTAGGGCTTTCTTTTTCAAAGCTGCCTATTTTGAACAGCTCAAAATATAAAACAAAAAATTGCCATGWCATCTATTCCTCACAATTTATATGAGGGAGAGGCAGGGGGAAGTAATCAACACTTAAGCTTAGCTAGTAGGCAAATAGCACTGTTAATGCTCTCGGGCCTCTCTTCAGCATATTCTCTACTTCATGGAAACACGTGAAGGGCAGCAGCAAAAGGCACAAGGACAGAACAGTGCTCTTACCTGTGTGCTTCCGAAGGTGCTCCTTAAAGTGTCCAAAATGGTCAAACTGTTTATCACAGTACTGGCAGATATGTATTTTTTTGCCAGGTCTTTGCTTCTTGCTGGCGCCACCTTCATCGAGGTGGTAGCAGGTGAGGTGCTGTTTCAAAGCACTCTCTCGTAGGTACCTTTTATTGCATATGTCACACTTGTAACTCTCAGTAGAGTGTGTTTTCATGTGCTCCTTAAAATGGTAAAACAATTTAAACGAACGGTTACATTTCTCACAGTGGAATAAATTGTTCATGTGTGACAGCTGAAGTTCCACAATTTCAATACCTTCTACCTGTTTGCACGAGGGATCGGTTGCACTGTCACCTTCTTCTTGGAGCTGGCATTTTCTCTCCCCGTGACGATACTTGCTGGTGATATCTGCCAAGAGAGCCAACGCCGACTCGTCCGAGGTGCCAGTAGTCTGGATGTACTTTATGGACTGCTCTGCAGAGGCCACTTCTTCAAATGTTTCCATGCTGTCATCTTCCACTTCGATTGTCCCTTCAGCAATCTCAACCTCAATTTCAACAGGCTCTGATTCTGCAGATGGCAACGTTTCTGTGATAACATTAGAGGTTTCAGCTATCTTCCTCTTTTTCGGTTTATTTTTATCTTGTGTTTGATTTGATTCCAGAGGTGATGCATTTTCTTTGTTCCTGTAAGGCATTTGCATAAAAATGGTTAAGCTCCACCAGCACTTACCCAACACCTCCTGCCCAATACTGAACTTCTGCATTAAACACTCTAAAGCTCATTCTCCATGGAGCTGGATGATGGAAGACCACACAATCTGCATGCACTGCAGAAGGCTAACTGGCCTAATCCGTATTCCTTACGGCTGTAAAATATCATGGGTAAAGATGTGGAGTTTCTGACATGAAAGTGTCAGAAGTGTTTTCAAAAGCTCTACCTACAAGATTAACTTAAGCTTAAAAAGAAAGACCAGTTGGCCTAATGACACAGTTTTATCCAATAAACTTTGGATTCTCAAGCTAACTGAAAAGCTGTAAGTTCTCTATCCAAGAAAAGGGGAGGAAAAGTTACCGCAAAGTTACAGCCTACAATACCTGCAAAATCTGCCAGCCATGTCACTGGCTATTGAGTTCTGTCCAAAACCAAAATGTAATATTCATCTTTTAAGCTTTTATAATTCCTACTCGGACCTTACTGTGGATGATCCCACAGAAGTTTAAGATGCTCCAGGATAAGGAACAGTGCTGCAAAATGCTGACAACCTACTCTGATAAAAGGTTCCTAACCTGGCATGTGAGTGTTTAGGAAGAAAGACAACCTCCTGAGTTTACCTGATTTCAAGTGCTTTGATTGCTTCTAACATCTGTAGATACTCAGCTGCTTTCCAAACATCATTTGCCTCTTCCTCACCTTGCACCATTAGTTTTGCTGTATAAGTGAACTCAATTAGGTGACGAAATGCCATGTTACTTACACCTGCTCAGAATCAGGGGAAAAAAAAAAAAAAAAAAAAAACACAAAAAAAACACAGTTTCACTTAACAATTCCCAGGCTTATCTGCTTGACAAGTCTTTTACTCTTGCCTGCCCAGCAATAGGCTCATAACACTCTGGTTGCCCATTTCACAAAGCTGACATTCTTGAAAGGTCACACTGGATTAAGAAATCTATTACAGAAAAATAGAAATTGGGCAAGTCTATAGAAACAGGCTGCCAGGATGATCATAAATAAAAAGCCCTCAAAAATCCAAGACCATTCATTTAAACACACCAAAATATCATCTCTGTCCAAGAGAGCTTTGAGCAGCAGATGAGAGGAGGCTGATGTGCCTGCCAGGGAGGTCTCGCTCCTTCTCTCTCCTGTTCTTCATCCCATTGAGGCCTCTGTCACCGACCACCACTGGCATCTTCCTGGGATAACCAGGAGGACTGTTATCAAGGAATGGGTTGGTATCTTGGGCTGTCCTAAAAACATATAGGGACTGCAACCTCTATTAGCAATGTATAGAAGAGGATAGAAATCTTCTGGAAGAGGAATTTTATTTTCTTCAAAGGTAGTTTCTTCCAGTGCCAACAGCTGCCTCAGGACAAGTCAGAGACTGATAACCAGAAAGCTGACTTTGTGACCAGCCACACACTTTAGTCTATCCAAACTAGGATAGTCAGGTTTCCAGACTGAATCCAGAACTGTAAAGGTTATTTCTGTGAATCAAATTACCTTCTATCTCCACCAAAGGCTCCTGAGTGAAGTCTTGAAAGAACTTGTAGAAGAACTGGCTACAGGCAGCAAGAACTGCCTTATGAGCTTTGAAATGGTGACCTAGAAAAAGAGACATCAAATTTCATTTTAGATAATACCCTCCTTATTCACAGTAAAGGATAATCAAAGATGCAAAGTAGCTGCAGAAAACAAAATGGTTACAGAACTAGGCTACAAATTCATTCCAGAAGTGCCAAGTGATGTGGTGCAGCTCCTTGCAACGTGGGATACCAGTGCACACAGCCTGTCCTTTCTCGTGCAGAACCTTGCTCACCTCACTGCCCTTGCTGAAGCTCTGCCCCTAAATCAGCTGGATTAACCCGCTGCAGAGTCTCTCTTTTCAGATACTTAAGTTACAAGAAATCCCTGGGAGAACCTCCTGCCTTCTTTTATCTGAGTTGTCCTCTGCTTCTACTGCACTTACAGACCTAAATATTTCCCCACCACTTGAGGCAGCAGAGATGCCCCTGCAGTTCTGCCCTCTCCCTCCTGCTCCCCACGCTGTGTGTTCCCCATCGCTGCGCTGCCTTACCCTGCGCACAGACATGAACATCCCACAGGGAAGGGATATGAGGAACAGCCTCATTTAGAGCTGCACAAAAAATGGTTTTGCCCACCCCGAGGACTTGCTAATGCTACAGCAGGAGCAAACGTGCAAAGTCTGGAGCAAGCTCTACTACTGGAACCATGGTGCTGGATTCCAGACGAGTAATCTTTCCCCAGTCTGCTTCCCTGTTCCTAATCTAGGACCTTCTTCCTCCAAGCAGGTTCTTGCTGTCCTTTTGAGAATCACCTGGTTTTACTCCAGCTAAATCTGTCCTGTGGACACTGCCTATCGCTCTTTGAAGGACTCCTCCATTCTAAGACATCTTCAGAATAAGAAATAGCCTTCTGTGATACTTTAAATACCTCCTTTTCTTACAAGGAAAAAAAGGAGACAGAAGATCTAAGTGCTTATCAGGCTTATAGCTATGTTTATAGAACATACAGAAAAAGAAAATTGAATTGAATTCTAGTGCACATTAAAACTGAGCAGACACTTGAGAAGTAAGTAATAAAAAAAACATAAACAAAAAGTTTGTACAAGTTTTCTGCATGCAAGTTGTTGGCTCAAGTTAGGGAGCAGTATTCTAACAATGTTTTAGAAATACTTGGACAACATTTTAAATATAGTACAGCAGTGTCAAAGCGGGCTTCTATCTGAAAATACTCAGCCCCTYGTTTAGAAAAGCAGAACTTGGCAATAACCACGGCTAGAGACTGTGTTCCCCCCAAGGCTCTGGGGGTAATGAAGTCCTCCCAGACTCCCAGAAGGCTCATGCAACTTGCAGAGCTGAACACAGCCAGGAAGGTTTTTTCTTGGTTCTGTTTTAAACCAGCTCAGTTTGACAGCTTCCCAGCTCGCAGCTTCCCAAGTTCTCCCAATACCAGCTGACTCTCAGGCCTGCACGTACCATCCACAATTAGAGTGATGTCTGTGAACTGGTCCTGCTCACGCTGCTCGTTCAGTCTATCCAAAATAACTTTGTAGTGCTCGGGGAACTCCTGGATGCATTCCATTGTTTCTTCAGCCTCCATGGCAAAAAGACTGGTCTGCAAAAGACATGTTAGCAGATTGAGCTCAATGTGCCGCTCAGGAAATACAATGCACAGCCCAACTAGCATGAATATGCAGCTAGCTACATTTCTTACAGCCTACAACAGACACACAGAATCGTTTGCAGCAGGTTACAATGAGGGCAAATGCTTCCTTACGCACAGGGAGCTGTGGGGCTCCACAGACAGGCTGTTCTCATACCTAAGGAAAACTGTCCCGTGGAGAAGAGTCATTYTGCAGTGGATGGGAGCAGGGAGAGGGAAGAGTGGGAGCCTTCGCTTATGGAATTTCAGTTGTGCCCATYGTGCTGAGCAAAGCCAAGGGAGACGTGAGGCACCAACAGCAAGCGGARGGGAGCAGCCGGGGAAGGCGGGACGGCGGTGAAAAGAGGCCATTGCTCCTGCTTCCACTCGGCTTCTCCTGCAGCCAGGCCAAGATGAGCAGCAGCTCCTGCCTTTCCTTTGCCACGCAGAATCCCACAAGGAAAGCGATCGGCCACCAACTTCACGGGTTACTTCTTGTTCAATTCAGATCACCAAATTCCAAGAAAACCATGCCACCAGAGCTTATGATTTTCACATATCCAAAAGCACCCTGCCTCCAAATCGCATGTCTACGGGGTGATTTCCCCCCCTCAAAAAAAAMCCCAAAATCCCACATTCCAGTGCAGGTSCCCCTGCCAAAGCCCTACAACGAGGCTGAGCGTTTTCAGTGTTTCGCAGAACCCTCAAAACCACTGACAGC